ATGGGAAAACTGAGTCATCATCTTGCCTGTGGCTTTCGCCGCCTCTTCTGGATGCTGGTTGTCACGCCTGTTGTCCTTCCCCCTGACCCGACCCACCCTCCTGTCCCGACAAAGCCCTTCGTGACGCCCTCCCGCGGCGACGGCCGATAGTGCTCCTGGCCGGGAGTCTGCCCGCGTGTCCTGCCACAGCTCTAGAATGTCCTCCCTGCTGTTCGNTGGGAGTCTGCCCGCGTGTCCTGCCACAGCTCTAGAGTCCTCCCTGCTGTTCGCCGGGCTCTTTGCTGCGATTCTCCCGGTGCCTGCTCTGCGATGAGCGGAATCTGCCCCTCGGCCCCAGCTAGTCCGCGGCAGGCAGGTGCCAGCGACAAGGACATTCCTCTTTAACTGCTCGCAGCCACCTTTAGCCGNCGGGAGTCTGCCCGCGTGTCCTGCCACAGCTCTAGAATGTCCTCCCTGCTGTTCGCCGGGCTCTTTGCTGCGATTCTCCCGGTGCCTGCTCTGCGATGAGCGGAATCTGCCCCTCGGCCCCAGCTAGTCCGCGGCAGGCAGGTGCCAGCGACAAGGACATTCCTCTTTAACTGCTCGCAGCCACCTTTAGCCGTGGTGGACTGGGCGCCCGGTTTAGGCCTGATAACACAAGGGAAGATTTCTAGCCTGTTTCCTGGCGCAAAGCAAAACTCAAGGAATGTTTTTCTCCTTCCTTGCTTGAAAGAAGCCTGCAGCCTCACGGGCTGTCTCTGCTCCTAGGTCTCTGAGCTGTGCCCGCGGCGAGAGGGCTCAGAGCTGCTCGAAGACCTTTCCAGCTTTCCAAAGCACCCGGGCCAACCCGGGCCAACCCGGCCCTACCCTGCCCGACCCGACCCAACCAAATCCGACCTGACCCGACCCAACTCGATCCAACCCGGCCCGGCCCGGCCCGGCCCGACCCGGCTGGACCTGCACACTTCAAGTGAAACAGACCCTGGGCTAAGACGCCCTCAGCGATGATCTCTGTGGACTCACAGGCAGTTTGAGAGGCTTTGAATAGACCAGGAAATTTTAAAATAAGCAATATTTGGAGAAATAACGGATATGGCTGGAATCAAGATTCCTGAATATTCTATGAGAGAAAAGTTCCCAAACTACTCCTGGAATCAGCCACCCGGCTGGCCCAGAGCACACGGAGGCCCTGTAGGGGGCGGTGCTGCCTAAGGCCACACGCCAGCCGGCATCTCAGCTCCTCGGGCCGGGCGCTAGACGAGGAGGGTGAAGCTGCTCCATGAAGAGCCTTATGAGCCATAGAATGTTTAGGGCTCATTCTACGGGGTATGAAGGGTTTGTTTTTTAAGCAGAGAAATGATATGGTCAGAGTTCCATGTTAGGAGAATCACTCTGGGTAAAGAATAGAGGATTGACTGGAATGAGGGTCGTGATAATCGAGGACAGTCAAGAGGCTGCTGCCAGTCATCCAGGCGAGCGCTGAAGGTAGCCTGCTTAGGCAAGAACGACCTGCTCTTTTAATGGCATTTAGGAAACCATGATACCGCCCGGCCAGTGGGACTCGGTTGAGTGTCGTGCCATGGACCAAGAGGTCACGGGTTCGATTCCCGGCCAGGGCATGTGCCCGGGTTGTGGGCTTGACCCCTGGGAGGGGGCGTGCAGGCGGCAGCTGGGGGGCTTCTCTCTCCTCTGATCTGCTCAGTCTCATTGCCCTGTTTCTTTTACCAGGGCTTTAGTGAGGCAATCTCTGTTTTCATCAAGCCAGATTGTTTACCCTGTCCCCAGGTTTGGAGTAAGAAAAAAATAATTCCCAAGCGTAGTTCTTTTGAGAAAACTGTCCATCTAGGCACCGCGGATCCCCCTCCGTATGGTCAGGTTCAGAGACTTCCCTTTTCCCTCTTACCTAATGGGCAAAACGGCCATTCCAACCGCTGCTGCCCTGACATGAAATACACGATTTCACAGGGCTCACTGATGTTTCTCAGAATCCTTTACCTCACCACCCTTCAGCGTGCTGCCGTCTTTCCTCCGCTTTGCTCTCATCCGTCACTGGCCCAGGGTGTCAGAGGATCTGATGCTCGTGCCTCCATCACTGCCTTTAATTATTACTGAGATTGCCAACACCCCTCTATCCTTCCCTAGCCGCCCCCAGGTCTCATCTCCTTCCCCATTCCATTCTTCACAGCGTCCAGCGAGAAGGCTGGCCTCTCAGTTAACACTGCACGCCAGTCAAACCGTCCCTGTCCTTCACGGGGGCACACTGATTAAACTGATGAAACCTTTGGTCCTTTGACTCTTCTTGGCTGCTTGTTTGCTGCTCAGCACCCAAAGTTTGAGGTTTCTAAAAGCTGGCTGTGGTCACTGGCCTCCTTGTACTGTAGGCAAACTTGACGGTGCAGTTTGGTCGAGCCTGTGCTGCAGGCAGAAGGTAAGTCAGCGACTTGGGATGGTTTAGAAAAGCAAAGTGACTCTAGGGCAAAGTCTTAGATGGAAAACTCTCCCCACCACCCCTTGGGGTAGTAAAGTGAACTAAGATGAAACAGTCATGGCACATGAAATGCATGACTTTTATCATTCTTAATATATTCACTTTGAAGGCTTATAGTTTGACAGCTATTTAGGAAACAATTATTAGGATTTGATCCAAGGTACAAATTTTGTCACAAGAATAGGGTGGGCAGGGCTTAATAGAAAGCTTGACTTTCAAAGTAAATACCGAAAGGAACAAAGGAAATGAACTTCATGCTGTAACAGGTCAATTCACACGCCATCAAGGTACCTTCATTTGCCAGAGTCAGTTTGCTCAGTGGTTGGAGCATCGGCCTGAGGACTGAAGGGTCCCGGGTTTGATTCTGGCCAAGGGCATGCACCTTGGTTGCAGGCTCCATGCCTGGCCCTGGTTGGGGCTCATGTGGGAGGCCACCAATCAATGTGTCTCTCTGACATTGATGTTTCTCTCTCCCCCCCCACCTTCTACTCTCTCTGAAAAGCAATGGAAAAATATCTTCAGGTGAGCATTAAAAATGTATCTTCATTTACCAGCTTGTCCAGGACTAAGCTTTTGAAGAGCTGAAAAATTCTCTAAGAAACAGCAATTGCTTTTTTATTTATGAAAATGGTCAGAATTAAGATATGTTAACCTACACACTAAGGGTATAGTTACCTAAAGCCTCTTGCTATGCCCAAGGACAAGGCGAACAATGACCTACATTTAGGCACGTGTGGCTAGAGAACAGGGAAGCTCCTTCTCGGATAAAAGCAGAAATCCTCGTTAGTCATGCCATCCCAGTCCTAACTTAACAGTCAGCATCAAGCCACTTCCTTCCCCATCCGTAATCGCAGAGCAAGGGCTGACGGAGTGATAAACCAAGGCCATCAAGAAACAAGGCGTAATTTGCCTTGTTCTTATGAGAAGCCATTAGCTCAATCATTTAATGAATTTAATTAACTCAACAAAATTCTCAGTGGGAAAGGTAGAGAGAGGTCCATAGCAAAGGACCACTCTCTAACCCTTCCAAATTTTCCACCATGAAAAATTTTCATCACTTGTTTAAAGGGGGTTTAAAAAAAAGTCCTAAGGTCCAGAAGGTAAAGCTCAACCAAACGGGATTCCTGAGAATTGCTAATCTAAAAGACAGCTTTAAAAGGGGAGGAGAGGAACAACGAGGCCTATCAACGCTGGATAAACTGATCTTCATACTCGGAAATGCTCCTTGACCATGAGACTATGAATATACTCAACAACATGAGTATCAAAAGATGGAATAAGACAGTCACAAAAGAGTATGTACATATATGATTTTATTTATGCAAATTTCTAGAACAAGCAACACTAATCTATGGTGATACAAATCAGAACAAGAGTTTATGTGGGAAGGGATTAGCTAGGAAGGGCATGAGAATTTTCTGGAATAATGGAAGTTTTACATCTTTATTGGGACTGTCACCAAATCTCAAATGATGCATGTAAAACCTGTGCATTTTATTGAATTAAAATACCTGTTTTTAAAAAGTACTAGTTGTCTAACTAGATCCTAAAGTTAAGTATAATGCACCATCACAGAAAGAATCTGATGAGCCTTACCGTTATTGAAAACCAACAGAGAGGGGCAACAAAATGGCTACCAGAGGGGCATGGGTGTGAGAAGGGGACAAGTGGTTAAAGGGGGTCAAATATACGGTAACAGAAGAAATGAGACTCCAGGTGGTGAGCACACAATAGTACAGATGTCAAATTATAATCTTGTACACCTGAAAATTACATAATGTTATTAACCAATGTTACCCCAATAAATTTTAAAAAACCAACAGAGGCCATTCAGAAAGCAGATATGAAACTTTAATTCATTGTGGGCATTTCTCTAACCATTCTGTATATTATATATATATTTCTGTGTTCACACAGATAATCTTTTATAAGACAGTTTTTCCACCAAGTACTGTGTACTATACCACAATTCCATCTAACTAGTGAAGGGCATATTATAAATATCATGAGCCATTGATTAAATATAAATAAAGAAGTCAATACCTATGTTAGAAAATTTAAATAAAAGTTTAAGAAAGGCTAAATACAAGGAAAGGTTACACGTCTTCTTTAATTCTATGTAACATCATAGTGACAACCAATTACAATAAAATCACAACTGCTTTCAGATGATAGTACACTCAGATTTCCAACATCCAATTATTTTCATTTCAACAATTTGAATTCCACATTGCATTCTCACTCTGGAGTAGACTGGCTTCTGGACTGCAGACCAAGTTTCTTGTGTGATAGTAGGAATTACTACGTTGCCCTAGCCAGGTGGCTCAGCTGGTTGGAGCGTTGTCTCAAGCAAAAGGTTGTGGGTTCAGTTCCAGGTCAGGGCACATAGCTAGGTTGCGAGTTGGATTCCCGGTTGGGGCATGTATGGGAGGCAACTGATCCATGTTTCTCTCTCTCAAATCAATAAACATATCCTCGGGTGAGTATTAAGAAAAAAAAAAATTACGATGTTGATTATGACCACAGTAAGCTAAATTTATATACACTGTACTATACAGAGATGGCACTTTATTAAGTATATAATATGGAACTCTTCAGGGACGGTGTTCAAGGGAAATTCTACATTTATTTCACTAGAAAAAGAAATGTTTTTTCGTTAAAAGAAGAAATAAGTCTCTGTCAGAACATTTAGAAATAAATATATAGTACAGCCTTTTTCCTCTTCGTAAGTGCTGCCTAGAAAAAAAGTTCCAAGCTCACGGAAGAAAAACCCCCACTACAAACAAAAAACAAGGGGGGAAAAGACCTCAGGAAACAAACACTACACGATGTTGAGCTGCAATCTTCCTGAGTCTATCCTTAAGCTGGGACAAGCGCTGCAGTCGGGTCTACCATGCTTTAGTGTCCAGTCCACAGGCAGTCAGTCCTTGGTCATCTATTCATACTCTACAGAAATCAGAAAGGACTCCTAAACACCCCTCAACTAATCACACAAGGGAAAGCTGATCATGTTTTATATTAAAATCTATATGGATATCAAACATAGCCATAGCCATTCTTAATAGTGTTGCTAGGATAAGTGAAGAAAATGTATGTACAGCTGTACACAGATCACCATTAAACACAGGAACAAAATGCCACTTGATGTACATCAAATAAGTTCCCCCAAAAGCCAATTTGAATAGTTTATTTTCATTTACTTTAATAAAGCATCAGAAGGGACTGCATATAATTACGGAGACTGCTGCAAATAACACTTGATGCTGTGTTCTATTAAGCATCAGGCATGCAAAATAATTACCTTTTAAAATGTCTCATGTATATATCTCAACACTCCTATTTATAAGCTACAATATATAAAAAGCAATTAGTAATTTTTAAACCAAATATTTTAACTGACATGTCTAAGTGGGGAAAGCCAAAAACTGTCCTCCTGTCTCAACAGCCAAAGGTAACTTACTCCCCAAATTGATATTTAAACTTACTTTATGCCATCCTTAACATTCCAAGTGATGAAAACCCTCATCCCTGTGAAATTAGAAGTATGATCTACCAGCAGCAGTCTGCCTCCCAGACACGACAGCATGCCGGGCCTCTGGGAATCCCGATAGAAGTGATGTGCTGGTGGCTACACAGGACAACGGTTGAACATTACCAGTCTCTTCTTTTTATTCTGGATCTTTTATTTCAAACTAAATAAAGCTTTTCATTAATACAAACTAAAAAAATTATTTTTTCTTTATTTAACATCAATATAAGAGTAGATAAAACTAAAAACCTTTGTCTTCAAGTGTGTGGCAAAATGTGTGTCAGTGACATTAGGTAACTGGGTAGGGAAGTGAGCAGTTTGTTTTTCCATTTCAAAGGCATTCCAAATATTCACAAACACAAATTCAGATTGCTTGGTTCTCGGTCATTTATGGCTTAAAGTACTGCATTTGGAAACCACCTCAGGGTAAAATAAATTTCTATAAGTAATGCATAGATTGCATATTTAGGAAATCATGCAATAAATAAATGTTCTCACGTACACTGGAATCTTAGGGACAAAAGAAGCCTGCAGGTGTCAACAGTACGGTTTCTTTTACCAAGAAAAGACACCCAGCAAGATTCTTGCTTTTGACCTAATCAAGATCCTACTTGCCAGGTCATCCTAATTTTTTCAGACTGATACAGCAGCCAACGTCACAAGAAATCTGCAAGAAGGAACTGACCTGCTTCAAGTGCAGGAGCTGAGGTCTGAGCCAAAGACGCTCTCGTTTTCCTGCCACCCTGCTGCCAAGGCCATGGAGTTCTTGACCAGCTAGAAGATCAAGTGGGTAAATGCTTAGAACACCCACTGGAAATGTTTATTACTTTAGTATCTTTTAAAAAATCTATCTGTCCTTTAAATCTATTTGAGAAGTGCCAGGGTAAGCTCTCACGATTCCTGGTTTTGATATGCCCCTACCACATGAGAATTGAACTGAACTACAATGATTGTGATGTCATCTCTGTACATCCGAGCGAGCTCTTCAGGAAGACTCAGCATTTTGGAAAGACGCTCATGATCAACAGTCCCAAACTCGTTGTTGCCCACAGCGTGGCGAATAAGATGGGTGGCTGCATTCTGGTCCTCAAATACTGAGGACATCTTGGCTCTCCTTTCTGTTAACAGGCCATGCATCTGTCCCAGAGTCACCTTGTAGCCACCAACAGCTATTGGCTGTTGGTGGTGCATGCCCGTTAGGTACTCACCAACAATCCTAACCACATCCTGCCTATGCATCGTCTCCCACAACCCATCAGTAGCCAACACCAGGAACTTATCCTGTGGCCTTAATCGGTGGTAGGTTACCTCTGGCTCAGCAGTGAGGTAAGGAGGTGTATGATAATTAGGAGGGATGAACTTGGTATATTCGTTGTCATTCAACTGGTCTGGGCCAGATTCTATCACTCTCTTTTGAAGGTCAATGCTCCATTTGAACTTTACGTCTCCAAAAGCCCTAAAAGGCATCAGCAAGCCAAGCAGCCGATCCTGTTTCACCACACTCTTGGCCTCATTCTTTGGGTGTTCCAATTTTAGCCGTTCCAGTTCCCTCTCATTCTGAGCATTGTGGTCATTAGAGAGAGTGACCGCTGACCAAGAGCCGTCCTCTTCCTGCACACCCAGCATGGCTCTGCTATCGCCAGTATTGGCCACATGAAGGTTGACACCATCCACATGGGCCACACAAGCGGTGGCCCCAGAAAATGCTACTCGAAGCACCAGGTAATTGAGGAAAGAATTGGGATCACCGACTTGAGCCTCCAAGGAGATGTCATTATCGAGCCTCTTGAAAGCATTAATTAGAGCCTCCTTCACATCAACATCAGCCGACTCCCCTGTGTTGAGGTCTATAAGCTCTTGCCAGTAAGTCCTCAAGCTGTTGAAGTACAATTTGGAGGCCTCCTTACTGAAGTAATCGTTGGGGTGCTTGTGCCACTGTAGAATGGGTAGCAGTGCCCGCCCACTCTCCACTGCATTTTCAATCTCTAGCAAAGTCTCGTGTGGTAACAAGGAGACAGCAATATAATAAAAGAGTCTTTCACTGACTGCTTGGGAGCAAGCACAGCCTGCGTGGCCATCAAAAACCCCCAGGAGCATCCCTCTGGTCTGCAAGCAGGTGGCTGCACTTCTCCGATCCTCAATGGGTGCATTTGCAGGTAGCTGATTGCTGTCAAATCCAAGGACAGAACTGACATTTTTGCCATCAAATTCTGGTACTTTGAAACTGTATTCGTTGGCTTTCAGGATGCTATTGACTTGTGGGGGTGTGAGGTAAAATTTCTGAGGTGTGGAAGCGTATCTCCTTCCATGGGTGTACTGCCACCAGTTCTCCTTTGGCCTGCAAAAGGTCGCATATGCTGGATGGGGTGCATACCTCAGGTGGCTCTGAGGCATGTAGGGGGGTGAGCAGCAGAGGTGTTTGTGGTGGCAGTAGCATGCAGTGCCATAGATTCTGCTCAGTTCACAGTTCCGAATCAGAGGAAACAGCAGCTGAGTTGGTGCTGGCATGGCATCAGAGAACAGCGGCAGGCTGGCACTTCTGACTGGGATGCCTACAACACAAATTACACAGGCACACACAAAGAAAAAGTTATACTTCAGATTACTTAATCTAGCTTTGCTTTTACAGCGAATATTTAGCAGGTGAACCTACTTACTAAGCCCTGTGCTAGGAGGCACTGTATTTTATACCCACATCACGTGTTATTTCTACAAGGTATATTCTGCTGAGCACAGTTCCCAATCACTAATGGAGCCAGGACTGAATGGTAGTCCAGCTTTACTTTCCTCTTTTCATCGTATTTCTTTGTGTAGCACAAACTGTGCACCATGCATAATAGATTTAGCTGGGAGAGCTGAGGAGATGAATGTTACATAACACTATGCAGTGGCAGTCTACCTGGCCAATCACCCTTCTCACTCTCCATCCTTAAAAAAGGCCTTGGATCTTCCACACTGCTCAGGGACCTCTCTCCCATTTACGAACATCCTATTTCTAGACCTGTGGTCAACTGTCAGCATTAGATTACACATGGCTATCACCAAAAATGTCTTAGGATGCACCCTCAACATAAGTATATTCATGCACCACTTTTAAGTTATACACAGACTACTGTATCAACATAATGTTCATTATAACATGCACAAACATTTTTACACAATGAATGAAGAGAAATGCCAATGTTCCCTTCCTACACCCCAGGGAATGGCCTTGCAAATAACCCTTTCTAGACCACTGCACCAATCTGGTGAGCTTAGGGACACAGGTCTTCCACCAACCTATGGTGGAAAAGCTGGCTCACTTCTTTGGGCCTCGCTTTCCTAAGATGTAATGGAACACATCGGAACAGATGCTATCTAAGGCCCCTTCCAGGAGTCTATGCCTTTATAAGTGTTTGTTGGAGTAAGGCTCTGAAATCAAATGCAGGTTTCATCTATTCATTAATTTTACTGTGTCCTTCATAAAAAAAGTTTAAGTATTTTAGTAGCTCCAAAACTGGAAGTAACGTAGTCTCAGTTCTGGAATTTAGTTTACTTGCTAGCATTTTTTCTGCTTATCAGCCATAAGGGAAAGCTACAGAAATATTACTTTCATCAATTATGGATCCCAAATAGAATTCACCACTAGAAAAATATTTCCTTTTCCATTAAAAAAGAAAAGTATTTGTCCTTGGGAAGCATTAAACAATAGTAAAATAATACCCTAACAGTCTAAGGTTTAGATAAAAAAGGTACAGAATTATATCTATATCATATCACTCAGCATATGACACTGAAAAGATTTTGTGGGGCATTTATGTAGAAAATTTAATCGTTTACCATTAACCCAGACAATTTATGCAAGAAAAAAGTCTTCCTTCTTCCTCAATAACATTTCCCCTGAATTCTTAAGGTACTGCCTCAAAGTATTCACTTGGCCTATAAAGAAATAAGCTTTACAGATACTTTATATAAGAAAATAAATATAGTAAACAAAAATAAGGAAAATAAAACCAAGTGAATCTTATATCACCTATTCCTTCCGAAGGTTAAGCCCATTAAGGAACAAAAAATTGACAAACATCACAGAGTGTTAGCTATATATTACATTATTTTTTGCATACCCCCTTTTGAAGAGGAATTAGAGAAAAAGTGGTAAGGGGGGGAGCAGAGAAAACCAAACACTGAATAACAGCTGATCCTTGTTTGCTTCCGTAATAAGCGGTGCATAAGCCAGCCATACAGAACCCTTTTTGCAAGTGATAGAAAGCACTGTTATTTTAACTGCACTACTTAAGAAGGGATTTGTTTACAAAATTGAAGACAAGAGCAAGCAATAAAAGGTAATGAGTAGAATTTTGGAAATAAGATCAACAACTAAGCAAGCATTCTAAAATGCATGAAAAATAGAAATTCCAGAAGAGCAATCCCCAACCAATTAAATAACAGTACTTCAAACTGAATACCTGAAAGTCATCCAAATTAAGTGTACATGACTGAGCCAGGAGATACGCTCAAATGCTGGGCCTCAAGATACTGGTTTCCAGACATAAACCAAATCTCTTGTTAGGTTTGCACACAGAAAGCACATTAACTCATTTCATGCTCTGTATAAAGATTTTCTATTATTAAAAATGTAAACAGATGCTAATCTTAATGAAAAGAAAGTTTCTCCATAACTTTAAGTTTGTATTTGTGCTTACTTTAAAACTTAATCCTAGAGGAAGTAAGTATGTTTCTGATGGAATGTAGACTGAATCAAAATACTGTGTGTCTCTGGAAAAGGGGTTTGATAGATATATAACAGGATTTCATTATACAGGGTGGGGCAAAAGTAGGTTTACAGTAGTTCTTATGGGAAATAATAATGATTAGTAAATAACAACACAAGGACAAACTCTGTATTTCATGTATTCACACCGTAAACTCACTTTTGCTCTCACCCTGTACGATGTCTAATTAGGAATAACAAGTCCAGGAACTGTACTTTCCTTAAATTGCTTTGTTTTGAAAAATTTGCTGCTTTTGTAGCTGACTGCAAAATGAATGAAATACTGTGGCAAAAGAACTAATGGGTCGTGCAGTAAATGCCTGGAATAACACTGTACATTCAAACAGCGAGCACGAAATGCCCAAATAATACACAACCTTCCTTCAATCAAAGGCTCTCGAGATTGAAAACAAAAGCCAGAGTGAATTTTATCAACTGTACCTTTCACTTATCCAGTTTAGCACATGAGCTGAGCTTGCATCCCAATCCCCCAACTCCCAACATGCCTTCAAAAGGCACATTCTTAGGAAAGAGAAAATTCACAAAAACCTGCTCTGTGATTGAGTGTCCTGTCATCACCAGTACAAGTGATAGTCTCTCTCCAACAGATTAGATATCCCTTAGAAGTCAAAGTACTTTCAAACGTTTTCAGAAACCATACATGAGCAAACACTGAGCATCTTTCTAATTTTCTAAATATTAGGTGATTCAACAACAAAGAACCCATGAAAACAACTTCTGTTGAAGAACTAGCTAAATAAACAAAGTAGAAAGCCCTTGAACAGCAACAAGGTCCAGCTATTGGTGTCTAATTTTCAAATGATTTCTGACCATGTTTCCACTGAAAAGTTCCATCCCGTGATCCTGACCTAGCCATGTTATATGCAGCATCTTTGTCCTGGGCAGATTTTGCCAATTTCGCCAATGACTAATAAGAAAGATGTACTGCAACCAGAAACTGGAAAGAGACCCATTCTTACTGATGTGCTCAGCAGAGTCTGTGCCAAGAAATGATTCCACTTCATCAATAAACCCCCAGAACAAATTAATTAGGCAATGCCGTCACCGCACCGATCCTGGAGCTCTTTAGCCTTGTAAAGCTTTAGGACAAAAATTAAAAAAAAAAAATCTATACTGGTTATTAAATGTCATAACCTCAGTTTATGTAATCCTATTGCATTCAACACCCTGCATAAAGACGGCGATCTTTCAGCATTTTTTTAAACATGCCTACTAGCCATTTCACAGCTCCCGTTATCCCTACGTGAACGAAGAAACCGGTTTCCCGGGGAAGACGCAGAGCCCCAAGCCAGCACTTGTTTGATCGGTTCCCTTTGTCCTACCTGCAAACTGTACTCCGAGAGGCATCAAGGCTACCCCGGTTCGCCCTCTTTCCCATCTACCTCGCCCCTTAATTCCACCCCGACCCGCCTAAAGCCATCCACACACAGAGTCAGTCACCATCCTTCCAGGGTACCCAACGCAGGTCTTTTTTTAAAAATTATTATTGATTTTTTTTTTTCTTTCTTCTTAGAGAAAAAAGACTCGCGGGCAGGTCTGTAAGTGAATACCTACCAATGCGCCTGGGCCCGGGGCACACACACATTCTCCTGTCATGACAACACGGAGCCGACAACATCCACAACCCGCGCGGACAGCAGCAGCGACAGCAGCGGCGGCCCATTGAAAGCAAAGCAGAGATGCTCATTAGAGGAGCGGG